GGCCCCCCCAGGTGCCTCCTATGGACACTCCCACAGACACGCCCAGGTCCTTCCGATAGATATGCCCACAGACACCTACAAGGCGTTTCCTATAGACACCCCAGGTGCCTGCTCTAGACACCTCCAAGTGCCTGCAGACACCCCCAGGTGGCCCCCATAGACACTCCTGGAGCCCCTTGGATAACCGGAAGTCCCTCCCGCCGGGCCTCCGTAACCGGAAGTCCACAAAGAGTCATGCCCCTCTCCCTCCTCTGGTTCCCTCACCGGATCCTGGCTGCTGCAAGACACCACATGGCGGAGGCGGATCTCGGGCATGGTGGGGCCAGAGGCCAGGCAGGACGAGGCCTCACAATCCGAGGCCTCCGGACCAGGCCAGCGCCTGGGAAGCAGGAGGCCGCTCTTTTAGGGCAGCACTAGTGCGCAGGCGCGCAGCCTCCCGGGCCTGTTCAAAGTCGGGCGCGCGCTCCTTGCCGTCGCGCAGGCGCACTGGTCCTGCTCTCCCTGGCTGGCTCCGCCCCCACCCTGGCTACTCTAGACTACCCTCTCTATGATCTCTCCTGGCTCTAAGCCCGCCCCTTGACCGGGCTGTCCCTCCAATGGCCAGCCTTTGTGGCCTCTCTACCCGCTCCTCTCTACTCTCCTCTCCCCCGCTCCAGTCCTGCCCCTCTCCAACTCTCCACTCTAGCCCAGTCTCTCTATGGCCACCTTCCCTTGGCTCCACCCCTTTTCCATGACTTTTCTATCCCTCCCTCTCGCTAGCCCGCCCTCAGGAGGTTACCATGACACCTGCCTCCCGCCTCCTGGACTCCGCAGCCCGTTCCCATTGGTCACTACAACCCTGTTCTCCTTTCCGATAGGATGGCATCGTCCGAGGGCGACTCCTCCTGGCTGCCCAAGTCGGAGGATCCCAGTGCTTTTCTGCATCCCCCAAGTCAGCCCAGTTTTGGGGGCGTCCTTGTAGGTATGGGGTGGGTGGGCCCCCGCAGACCCATTCCAAGCCCCATTAAAACCAGGCAACCTCAGATCCAGCCCAGGCACCTGGAGCTGAGCCCACGTGGTCGGATTCAAGCCCAGAGAGGGGCAACGAATTATCTGAGGTCACACACACAGCAAAGGGCATAACTAGAACCCAGGTCCTCCCAACCCAGCACTAGGCCTGGTTTTGCGAAGGGTGCCGTCTGACGACAGGCTATTCAGTTAAGGGCGGTGGCTGTACCATTCACGGCTCCCCTTTCTCCACCCCCTGAACTCCTCCCTTGGGGAGGTTTTGTGGGTGGGGGATGTGGCTTGTACACAGATCAATAGATACAAAGTAATTCTGGGGGAAAGATCAGGAAAGGCTTCCTGGAGGAGGGGGCGCCCGATGAGCCCCCCCGGGTCAGCTGTTCATTTGGGGAGGGGGCAAGCACAAATGGAAATGGGCAAATGCTGCATGTCGGCGCTTGGGTCGTTGAGTGATGGAGAAGAGATCCATAATGTCGATCAAACTAGTGTCTAGCGTGCCAATACGTGCCCCGCCCCTGGAGCCCCTGCAGACCCCGGAGACCACCCCCGGCTTCCTCTTGGAGGGTTTCTAATGTCTTCGCTATCTGCTTTTTGTTGTTGTTGTTAACTTAAAATAAAAAGACTTCCTCGGGGATTCTTTCCACCTGGGGACCGTCAGATGCGCTTTTATTATAGAAATGGTCTACCCAAACCTGCTGCACCAGACTGCAACCATAGGTGATCCCAGAACCCAGCCCGCAGCCGGCTCCGGGTGGGGACGTTCTGGGAGCGCCGGTCTTCGGGGCTGCCTAGTGAGCTCAGGTCTGAGAAGGCAAGGGGGCGTGATGGGGTCCGAGCGATCCAAAGGCAGGGAATTCCCCGGAGAAAATAGAAGAGCACCATGGACGGGGCTCCCAGGCTCGTGAGGAGCTGCCGCAGGTGGCCAGGTGGGGCGGGGGGCGGGGCTTGCCTCAGGTGTGCTTTCCTCTCCGCCTGGCCGAGCTCCCAAGGCATCTCTGTCCCTGAAAACAGAGTCACCAGAATTTCAGGGCATCGCCTGTCTAGCCTGCCTGCAGTTTTGTTCCCTTTCCGGAGGCGTCTCAGACTTCAGAATAGAAGCAGCCAAGGGAGGCCACTGTGCTTACAGCGCTGAGCCTGGAGTCAGAAAGAGCTGAGTTCAAATCCAACCTCAGATCCTGACTAGTTGGGTGACCCTGGGCTTGTTAAACCTGGGCTCAGTTTTCTCATGTGTAAAATGGGGGTAATAATAGCACCTGCCCCCCGGGATTCTTGTGAGGATCAAATGAGATAATATTGATAAAGTGCCTGTCACTATATTAATGTTGGCTACTAACTTTTGAATTCTGCGTTATCTGTGGGGTGAAATACGCCTCTTTCCCCCCCTCTTACACTGTCACCACTCTGATGTAGACCCTCATTACCTCACACCTGGACTATTGCAATAGCTGCTGGGAGTTCCGCCTGCCTAGAGACTCTTCCCCACTCTGGTCTGTCCTCCATTCAGCCACAAAAGTGATTTTCCTGAAACACAGATCCAGTAATGTCCCTCCCCTACTCCCTATTGCCTCTAGGATCAGATACAAAATGTTTGGTTTGACATTCAAAACTCTTCATAACCTGCCCCCTCCTACCTTTCTAGTCCTCTTACACCTCGCTCCTCAACATGTACTCTTTGATCCAGTGACACCACCCTCCTGTCCACTCCAACCACTGACCTGTCTGGCTTCCTTTAAGTCCCAACCAAAATTCCACCTTCTATAGAACCCCCCTTACTACCAGTGCTTTCCCCTCTGTTTATTATTTCCTATTTATCCTGTATAGCACATGCTTTGTATGTTTGTTTTCAGGTTTTCTCCCCCATTAGACTGTATGCTTCTTGAAAGCAGGGACTGTCTTTTGCCTCTTTTTGCATCCCCAGCACTTAGTATAATGCCCAGCATACAGTAGGCTGTTTGACAGACTGAATAAAATAAAGGTGGTCTTATATCCCCTGTAAATGTAGTGTTGCCTTGAGAAGCCCTTTCACTAACATCTGTGGAGCACTAGCCAGGAATTATATTGTGAGATTTCCCAGAATGAACCTTGGAGGGTGTGGAGGTGGGTGGCAGGAACCAAAGCCCACCCCCAAGCTCAAACCCGGGCTGTGTAAACTCAGAGTTTTGGTCCACTGGTTACAGTGACTAGTGTCCAACTTCTACCACTTTTTCAAGAGCAAGATGCCCTCTGAGGAACAAAATTAGAGTCTCCAGGAGTCATGTCCCTATTTCTTGGTCTGATGAACCACCTGAAAATCTGCTCCTGGCTCTGACCATCTGATGGAAACTGAGGCAGAGATGATTGCTCCAGAGCACAAAATTCCCATCCACGGATGTCAAATTTTCTGGTGGAAGGCTCTCCAGTGCTTCTCTGTGTGTTGGTGGTCCCCTTCCCTGACATGCTATGGACCTCTCTTTCCCCTCCTAAAGGACCCCCAGCCACTTCAGTGTCTCCCAGCTTACAAGCTCTTTTCTTGAAACAGCTCCAGGAGATAATCATTAATGATTCCATTTTACAGGCACATAAACTGAGAGGAAGGAGAGAATGTGATTTGCTCAGGGCAATAACAGCAAGTGGGTGGAAAAGCCATCATAATGTAGGATTCCCCAGCTGGAGTTGCCATCTTAATTATGAGATCATGGATTTTGAGCTGGTAGGGATTTTAGAATTCATCTTTCCAACAAATGGAAAAACTGAGGCCTTCAGACAGGAAGGAATCTGCAGAGCGATCTCAGTTTCTCCATCTAGAAAATGAGGAGAAACAGAAAACTGGGAAAGAATTTTTACAACCAGCATCTCTGATAAAGGCCTCATTTCTAAAATATATAGAGAACTAAGTCTAATTTATAAGAATACAAGTCACTCCCCAACTGATAAATGGTCAAAGGATATGAACAGGCAGTTCTCAGATGAAGAAATTAAAGCTATCTAAAGTCATATGAAAAAATGTTCTAAGTCACTATTGATTAGAGAAATGCAAATCAAAACAACCCTGAGGTACCGCATCACACCTATCAGATTGGCCAATATGAGAAAACAGGTAAATGATGAATGTTGGAGATGTGGGAAAATTGGACCACTAATGCATTGTTGGTGGAGTTGTGAAATGATCCAACCATTTTGGAGAACAATTTGGAACTATGCCCAAAGGGCTATAAAAATGTACATACCCAGCAATAGTACTTCTAGGGCTGTATCCCAAAGAGATCAAACAAATGGGAAAAAGACCCACATGTACAAAAATATTTATAGCAGCTCTTTTTGTGGCGGCAAAGAATTGGAAATTGAGAGGATGCCCATCAATTGGGGAATGGCTGAACAACTTGTGGTATATGAATGTAATGGGATACTATTGTGCTATAAGAAATGATGAGCAGGCTGACTTCAGAAAAACCTGGAAAGACTTGCATGAACTGATGCTGACTGAAGCGAGCAGAACCAGGAGAACGTTGTACCACATTGTGCGATGACTAATGTTGATAGACTTAGCCCTTCTCAGCAATGCAAGGATCTAAGACATCTCCAAAGGTCTCATGATGGAAAATGCTATCCACATCCAAAGAAAGAACTATGGAGTTTGAATGCAGATTGAAGCATACTATTTGCTGGTTTTTTCCTTCTGTTTTGTTTTGTTTCCTCTTTCTGGTGGTTCCTCCTATTGGTTCTAATTCTTCCTTATAACATCACTAATGTGAAAATATGTTTAATAGGAGTGTATATGTATAACCTGTATCAGATTGCTCACCATCTTGGGGATGGAGGGGGGGAAGGAGGAGGAGAAAAATTTTAAACTCAAAAACTTAGGATGTGATTGTTGATAAATTAAAATAAATTAACAAAAAATCAAAAAAGAAAAAAGAAAACGAGGAGGTTGTACCTTTAAGGGTCCTCCCAGCTCTGACATTCCAAGTTCTAGGGTCCTCTGCTATTCTATTTTCCAAAGTCCCTTCCAGCTCTGACAATGGAGGATTCTGTGAAGTGACTGGGGGCTCCCCCTGTCCCCCCCTCTCAGGGACTTTTGCTTTGCTCCATCACTGGGAGGGGTGGCAGGTAAAGAAGCCTGCACTTGAAGGCAGGAGTGTGAGCAGGTGTTGGGGGAGGAAGGACCCAGGCATCCTGGACCCCATAGCAACATGTAGAGACAAGCTGGGCAAGGAGAAGCTGGGTGGAGAAGCTGGGCAGGGTTGGGTGTGACTCATGCTAGGCAGCTGTCTTAAGGAAACTGGGCAGAAGAGAATGGGGCTTTGACTCCTCCCCACGTTGGCTTCTTCCCTCCTTCCAAGCTTTGTCATCCCGTAAGGTAGGAGGTGGGCTAAGGGCAGAGAGGAGGAAGGGAACACAGGCCCCTGGATCCTCTGAGGTTATCCTAGTAGCTGGGACCAGGCTAGGGAGTGGGGTGGGGATTGGGCTGGCCCTGCCCTCTGCCTCTGCCCTTCTATAAGGCTCATGGGCCCTGATCTAGGAGCAGACATCATGAGGATCACCAGGAGCCCCCAGCTAGGCCTGCTGGCCCTCAGCCTGCTCTGTACTCTCTTGTCCCTTGGTGAGTGTCAGCCCAGAACCCCTGGGCTGGGGGTCCTGGACTCTAGGATTTGGGGAGGGGAGAGCAGTAAGCAAGAGCTCCATCATCCCAGGAAAGTAACTTCACAACTTGTTTCTCTCACTGGGATCCAGATCTCTGGACTTCTTTATTTCATCCTGCAGGCAAGCCCCTTTAGTTTCTGGCATCTAGGCATTTGCACCTCCAGCACTTGTGGGAAGACAAATGTTTAGGTCCTCCATTCTCTTGCGGAGCTAGGAATCTAGGCACCAAATTATCAGAACATTGGGGACCTAGGCATTTTGATCATTCATGCTCTCAGGTACCTCATTCCTGGACCCCCTGGGTCCCTCCCCTGAGATAACAAGAATGTCTAGTAAAGCTAGCTCCTGGGTCCTTGACAGCTACCCCCTCCCCCCCACCCCAAAAGAAGTACCTGCCCTCCAACCTCGAACAACATCCCTCTCCCATTCCAGCCCAAATTCTGGAGTCAGGCGTCCCCAGCCATGTAATTACACAGTGCAGCCTCAGACCGGGTGACTTCCTGCCGCCAGGGCATAGTTTGGTTGTGAATGTCCAGGGTCTCCCTCATTGCTTCACCCAGGTCACAGGACCTGGTCATCGCAGGAACTCAGTCATCCAGATCTTTGGCAGAGACCCAGTGGTCTTGATTCCCCATCCATGCCCCCTCAGGCACCCAGGATTCCTCATCCTGCCACCCCATCCCTTCAGAGATCTATGTGTCTTACTGCCCATGCTTCTGCCTCCTCAGAGACCCAGGGGTCCTGATGCCCCAGTCTTTCCCCGCAGCTCAGTCCTTGACGTGTGAGGTGTGTAAGCACTCAGGACCCTCCTGCACTGGCAAATTGAAGCTCTGTGAGGCCGGGAAGGATGCTTGCATAATCGTTGTGGGGTTGTCCACCACAGGTATGGGAGGAGGGGTGCCGAGATGAGGTGAGTCCATGGGGGGTGGGGAGGAAGACCATCTCAGGTATTGGGAGGATGACACCATCACAGCTTTGGTGGAGGGGAGAAACTAAAATTGTTACAGAGGTCTATGAAGAAAGACTAACACAGGTATGGAGGGGAAGCTGTCACAAATATGGGGGAAGTGAACATCATGGGGTGTTGCCAGGATCTTAGAGGCCATCTATTCCACTTCCACCCCTCCTCATATTACAGGAGCAGAAACTGAGGCTCAGTGATTTCTCCAAAGTCAGTCAGTCAAAAAACATTTATGAAGAAGCACCTACTAGGTTCCACGCTATGGAGGCAGTAGGTGGGCAAGGCTGAGATTTGAACCCAGATCCATGGTACAAACCCAGCCTCTTTCTCCTGCTCCCCAGCTATGGCATGAGGAGAGAGACCTTAAGGGAAGATCGTCTGTGTGTGTGTGTGTGTGTGTGTGTGTGTGTGTGTGTGTGTGTGTGGGCTGATGGTGAGAGTTCCTGACACCTTTTTTCCCTTCAGTCCCAGGGGGCATAGAGTCCGTGGACACCTCCAAAAGCTGCATGAAATACAAGCACTGTTACTCAGGCTTCATCTCCACTAGTCTGGGGCTCGAGGAACACATGGTGTCCAACTCGTATTGTTGCCAGGAAGACGGCTGTAACAAGGGCAGCATCCCGAGTATGGCCCTTTCCCCTCCCCCACCCCTAACCCCAGTGGTCCGTTTTATCCCGTTAAAGCTCTCTGCCTGACCGTCTCCCATATCCTTGAGCCCGATCCTCTCAAATGTTCCATTCCTTCCTTCTCATCTTTCAAGCCATTGACCCTGTTCCCATTCCAGCGTCTAACTGCCCATCATGACCTTCTTAGAGCCTTGCTCTTCCTTCCTCACTTCCAGACTCTAAGAGGGTACCCTTCTATCTCTGTGGCCCCAGATATTCCGTTCCCTCCGAGCCCACAGGTTCTGAATTTCCCAGAGTCCGCTCACTTTTGTTCAAACTGGCTCTCTCTCACACTTCCCACCTCCCGCCTCCAGTATTCCTAGAAGTCAGCCAGCTCAGCTGGAGCTAATGGGCCTCTCCCACCCACCTCCCCCAGCCTCCCTCCGAGCCCTCTGGCCCTGAGCCTAGCCCGGGGCAGATGCAATCTTTCCCCCTCCCTCCACCCCAGCCCCGAGGAACAATAGCACACGGAACGGACTCCGCTGCCCAGCCTGTAAGGCCACCTTCCGCGAATACTGCTCCGGGAAGGAGCTGGTCCAGTGCGTAGGGAACGAGACACATTGCGTCTACTTCGCGGGGACGGTGTATGCAGGTGAAAAGCTTCGGGGAGGGAGAGATGGACACTGGGGCTGGGCCACTGAGCGAGGCGTGTCTAGGTGCCAGGATACTGCGTAGCTGAGGGAACTGGGGCGTCAGGACCCGGGTCCCTACGTAGGCAGGGTCAATCAGGCAGCCTGATCCCCTGACTGAGAGGGAGAATTAGACAGCCGGGTGGAGTAGGGCGCAGAGCTCCAGGGTCCGAGGCTGACCCCACCCCACCTCCCCCAGGCATCCTCAGAGCCAAATTTGCCGCCCGTGGATGTGCCAGTGAGAGCGCCTGCAACGCCCAGGTTGGTGGTGTGGTGCCCTCGGTGACTTACACCTACGAACTTCGAAGGGCCGACTGTGTCCCTGCTCCCCAACCCCCTGGCTGGGCAGAGAAAAAACTTTCCGTCCCAGTCCGCTGAGCATCGAATCTGGAGCCCATCCCAAACCCTATCCTCACCACCAAGCTCCTCTTGTCCCCAGATTAAACCAGTTCCCCTAGACGATCGGCTCTGCATATGTCTCTCGGGAGTCAGCGGCATCACGTTGGGCATAAGGGAAGAGGTAGAGACGAACAGGGGCTCAGGTCGGAGCTTAGGAAAGGCAGCAACCAGGCTCGCTGAACTCAGATAATCTCAGTCTCTGCACCCCGAGGGGCAGAAGAGCACAAGAATAGCGTCGGTGAAGTTCAAATACCAATTCCCCTTGGAGGGGAACGAGGAGGGAAATGAATACTTTCCCATCGCTTTCATTTCCAAATAGATCCCTCCCTCTACTCTTTCCAGTGATCCAGCCCTTGTCCCAAAGAATAAAGAAAAAAGAAAAAAAAACAGTTCGGTAAAATCAGCCAAGTCAACAATGTGTGACAGTATATGTACTCTTTCACATCGTACCTCTGTAAAGAAGGATGTAGTTTTCAACTCTTTCTTGGTCACTATAATTATACTGAATTTTATGTGGCCTTTTTTGGGGTTTTGTTTAAATGGGAGAGATCAGTTGGAAAAGAAGCCCCTGTGCCTTTCCCCTGAGTCTGAAGGGTCAGGGGATGAGCATAGGAATGAGAGGCAACAGGAGGAAACCTGGGCCGGAGAATGGTCCAGTCAGGTGAATGTAGCTAGCCAGCCACAATACATAGAACGCCAGGCCTCATCTTCTTGAGTTCAAATCTGGCCTCCGATACTAACTAGTTTCGAGACCCTGGACAAGTCACTTAACCCTGTTTGCCTCAGTTTTCTCATCTGTAAAGTTAGCTGGAGCAGGAAATGGCAAACCACTTCAGTATCTTTGCCAAGAAAACCCCAAATGGACGACAGCACTGACCCTGACAGCAATGTTCCAGCCTTCAATGAGCTTACATTCTGTCAGGGAATATGACATAGAAATATATGCAAATAAATAGAAGGTAATTTGGGAGGTGGGATTGGAGGAAGGCAGTAGCACCTGGGGAGAGCCGGAAAGACCTCACATGGGAAGTGCCATTAGTGGTAGTCCTGGAAGGATTTCTGCAGTTCTAAGATGAACCTAGTCGTGCAATGGATAGACCATCCGGCCTGGAGTCAGGAAGACCCGAGTTCAAATTCAGTCTCAAATACTAGCTGTGTGAAGCTGGCAAGTCACTTAACCTCTGTTTACCTCAGTTTCCTCAACTGTAAAATGGGGATAATAATAATAACACCTACTTCCTAGGCTAGTTGTGAGATAATAATTATAAAAGTGCTTAGTAGAGTAGCTGACACATAGTAGACATTACATAAATGTTATAATATTATAAGAGGCAAAGGGGAGGAAAGCAGTGTATCCCAGGCATGAAGGACTCAGCCTGTACAAAACCACAAAGAAAGAAGATGCAGTGTGACACGAGATGAAATACCAAGCCGGTTTATTTGGATTGTAGAGTGTATGAAGGGGAGTAATGTTTAAGTCTGGAAAGGCAGACAGCAGCCAGGTTGGGAAAAACTTTAAATGTCTAACAGAGGAATGTCTATTTGATCGCACGGGAAACAGCAAGCTACTGCATTTTTTTTTTTTTGAGCAAGAGTGCACCCTGAACTTTGGGAGTATCACTTTGGCAGGTGTGTAAGGGATGGCTATGATCGGAGGTTTACGGCAAGGAGACCACTTAGGAGGTGGTTGCCAAAGGCATGGTGAGTTCCTGAGCTAGGATGGTGGCCACGAGAGTAGAGAAGAAGCTGTATGCTGGAGGAGTGGCTGACCTACAGTGGCTATAGTTCATTCCAAGTCAATAAACATTTATTTAGCACTTACTGAGAGCCAGGCTTGGTGCTAAGAGCTAAGAGGGATACAAAAAGAGGCAAAAGACACTCCCTGCCCTCAAGGAGTTTATAGTCTTTTTTTTTTTTTTTTTTGGCTAGGCAATGGGGTTAAGTGACTTGCCCGGGATCACACAGCTAGTAAATGTCAAGTGTCTGAGGCCAGGTTTGAAGTCAGGTCTTTCTGAGTCCAGGGCCGGTGCTCTATCCACTGTGCCACCTAGCTGCCCCGAAGAGTTTATAGTCTAATGGAGGAGATAAGCAAGCAAACAAATGTATGTACAAGGCAAGCGATAGACAGCATCTCCCACAGGAGATAATTAAGAGGGAAAGCACTGTGTTGTGACCTAAAGGAAGAGAAAGAGGTTAGGAGATGGAATGGAGGAGGGAGAGCCTTCTAGGCATGGGGAACAGAGAAAATGCCTAGACCCGAGAAACGGAGAGGCTTGTTCATGGAATAGCCAGTAGGCCAGGGTCAGTAATCGAAAGGGACATTTTGAGGAGGGTAAGAAGACTAGAAAGGGAGGAGGGGGCAGGTGAGGAAGGGCTTTGAATGCCAAACAGAATTTTGTGTTTGATACTGGTGGTCATAAGGAACCACTGGAGTTTATTGTGAGGGGTGTGTGTGTGTGTGTGTAAAATATGATCAGATCTGCCTAGAAGGCAAATCACTTCAATGTTTTAATAGAGAATGGACTGCAGTGGGGAGAAACCTGAGGTAGGCAGATCCCCCCAGCAGCTATTACAGTAGCCTAGGCATAAGGTGATGAGGGTCTGCACCAGAGGGCTGGCAGTGTCAGAGGAGAGAAATGTGTGTTTGAGAGATGCTGCAAAGGTAAAACTGACAGGCCTTGGCCATAGCTTGGATACAGGGGGGTGGGGGTGGGGTGAGACAGTGAGAGGGAGTCCCGCAGGACTTCAAGGTTGCAAGCCTGAGGAATGGGAGAATAGTGCTGTCCTCTACAGTAATAGGAAGGTAGGAGGTGGGCAGGGTTTGGGGAAAAGATAAGTTCTGTTTTGGACAAGTTGAGTTTAAGACATCTACTGGACATCCAGTTTGAGATGTCTGAAAAGCAATTGGAGATGTGAGATTGGAGGTCAGCAGAGAGACTGGGCAGGAAAGGTAAACTGAAGAATCACCAACTTAGGGAAGGCAATGAAATCCAAGGGAGCTGATGAGATCAACAAGTGAAGCAGTAGAGGGAGACAAGGACAGATGAAATTGAGGCCATTCACCATGAGCTCCACCTTCTTTTCCCCATGCCTGGAAGGCTGTCCCTCCTCCACTCTGCCTATTGACCTCCCTGGCTTCCTTTAAGTCCCAACTAAAATCCTATCCTCTAAAGAAAGCCCCCCCAACTGCCCCCCCTTAATTACCTTATTACTTTACCGTTACTTACCATACTTTCCTTCTCTTAATTACCTATTAATCCTGTCTATAGCTTGCTTTGTTCATACATTTGTTTGCCTGTTATCTCCCCCCATTAGACTGTAAGCTCCTTGAGGGCAGGCACTGTCTTTTGCCACTTTTTGTATCCCCAGCACTTAGCACCGAGCCAGACTCAGGCTAGGCACTCAATAAATGTTTACTGAATGGAATTCAACCTCTCTCCAGTGATAGCCACTGTAGACCAGGACAGACTTGGGACATCCAAGGTTAGAGGGGTGGAGTTGGAAGAAGATCCACCAAGGAGACAAAAGAATCTAATAGGTGGGAAGAAAACCATGAAAGAGAGGGGTGTCCCAAAAACCCAGAGAAAAGGGAATATCAGTGAGGAGTGAGCCACAGTGTCAAAGCCTATAGAGAAGTCAAGGAGAACGAGGATTGAGAAAGGCCATTGGATTTGACAACAGAGATCATTAATGATTTTGGAGAACGCAGCGTTAGTGGAATGATAGATAAAGTAGAATCTGGATTGTAAGGACATAAGAAGAGACTGAGGAGAAAAAGTGGACACACCTATTGTAGATGGCCTTTTCAAAGAGTTTAGCTACCAAGGGCAGAATAGAAAAAAGTGTTGGAGACAGGATGAAATGGGATCATTTGAATACGTAGAGGGGTAAGCCTTGGTAAAGAGTAAGGCCACCTCATCACATGAGAAGGCATCTAGGGGCAGCGAGGTGGCACAATGGATAGAGCATCAGCCCTGGAGTCAGGAGGACCTGAGGTCAAATCCAGCCTAAGACACTTACTAGCTGTGTGACCTTGGGCAAGTCACTTAACCCCCATTGCCTCCAAAATAAAAAAAAAATTTAAAAAAAGAAATAGAAGGCATCTAAGTGAAGGGAGATGAAGAGGAGAGAAGGTAGAGCTTATAGTGAATAGCATCAATTCTATATGTAAAATGAGGTAAGGTACTCAGCTGAGAAAGGGGAGGAGGAACCCAAGTGAAGTTTGAAGAGATGAAGTTTGGAGGAGCAGCTGTGGCAAGGCTGGGAGAGAGAGACTGCTAAATTGGGAAATAAAAACCTTACTGGGCTGAATCTCATAAGATGACTAGGCTAAGTATCATGTCTTATACTTGGGTTCAAAAAATCAAGAACCCAAGTCCAAGCTGGGGTGCCTCGATGAGTTCATGTGAAAAGGAAGGCATCTCGTTCAGGACAAGGGAAGTGATGGTCCCAGGGTCTTCAGATATATCATATTTAGTTCTGGGCCCCCCAGTTTAGGAAGGACATTGATAAGCCTAATGTCTGGCAGAGGGAAACCAAGGTAGTGATAGTCCTTCAGATGATACTAAGTACTCAAAGACCTGGAGCTGTTCATCCGGGAAAAGAGAAGATGTAGGAAGGTCATGACAGGTGTCTTCATCAGTCCCTACAGGAAGGATTGCAGACTTGTTCAGCATGGCCCCCTTGGGCAGAACAAGGAGAAACAGGGTGGAAATTCAGTTCAATGTAAGGGAAAATTCCCTAACCTTTAAAGCAGGGTTTCTTAATCTTCTGTGTCCTGGACCCCTTTAGCAGTCTGGTGAAACCTATGGATCTGTGGATGGTAGGAGCCACAGTGTGAGAGGTAACCTATGTATAGCTCCACAGTTAATGTAAACAGCCAAAGAAGCTCCAACTATCCCCTTTGAGAACATGGACGTGAACTTGGACCACCCCCTGGCACTATGCTTTCCTTGTTCTGTTTCTATATAATATCTGACCTGGTCTAAGGGTGGCCTGGAGGTCTATCACTGTCCTCTTGCTGCCAAGGGCTGAGTCAATGAGTAAACCCCCTCAACTGACCCCAATAAAACCCTGATATATAATATATAATATACAATATATATAATATAACAGCGCACTGGCTGTGGACGGCCCTTCTTTCTTGGGTGTCTCAGAGGGTATGCCACAATTGGCATAATCAGGATAGAACAGATCTGCACTCTCACAATCTGTCCTCAGCATGTCTTTAAATGTATACACAATTAACCCCATTGCTTAGCCAAAAATGAATGAATGCATACACAAACACAGGATTACAAAGGAACACATTACTTTGAAATGTTATCAAAATATTTATTAAAAACGCAACAAGTTCATGATCAACACCCCTGCTATCTAAGAGTACAACGGATTGTCACGGGTAAGTAATGAGTTCCCCGCCAATGGTGCTCTCCCAGGGAAAGATGTGGAAAGCCCAAAGTTGGTGATCCCTCCTGGCCAGAGTATTTGTGGAAGCCTGGCAGAGGCAGAGCTTCAGGAGAGGGTGGGAAGGCTTGCCGAGGTGGCCAACATCTAGGGACGGTGCCCATTTCTTCCCCTTTCTGGTGGAGACACAATCTCTACAGAGCCACGCTGATAGGATCCCCCCACTCAACTAGCAACTGGGAGGTTGCTGGGCAGGGATGAAACTGGATAAATGCATAAATAAAGGCAACTACTGGTCTACAGCTATCTCCAGCCCCTGTATTCCCATTATATCACACTGCAGACCAAGAAAAACAAATGAGGGAGAGGCAGTCCCAAGATGAGAGCACCCCAAGCAGGCTGGATTCTTCCCCTCTCTCTTCTATTTCAGTCTCATCATTGCCCCTCTATCTCTGCACCAGCAGAGCCTTCCCATCCCAAGACCCAGGTAGCATCATTTCCCCCAGTCCCATCCTGCATCCCGATCCTGTATGAAGGCTGCATTGTGATCTCCACCCACCCACTCAAAGACCCAGGCATCCAGATCGCCCAGCCAGCCCCCGGTCAGCACCAGGGATCCGAGATCCCGGAACATCCAGGTGTCCTCCTCCCCCATCCACCTCCAGATTTCTAGCGGGCAGAGACAAGGGCACAGCAAGGCTGTGCGATCCTTATTCAGGGTCTGGGCCCGGGCCCAGCACGGCCTCAGCATCGGCCTGCAGCTCGTCCAGAGCGGCCAGGAGTACGCCGTGGGCCGCGCGGTACCCAAGGCCCCCGGTGGCCGCCGCGCCACCCGCCGGCCACAGGAAGGAGAGAGCACCCAGGGCTGCGCCGCCCGCTGTTCCTTCGCCAGCCCAGACCCTCAGGCGCGCCTCCACTTCTCCACGTGCCGCTCCATTCAGTGCCAGTCGAGAGCGCTCGCGCCCCACCAGAGTCCCAGGCTCCAGCCCCAGGGCGAGCTCTCGGCGGGCCACCGCGGCCGCCTCGAGCCCCAGCGCCCGCCGGTAGCCCGCCAGTTGACCCCGCAGCAGCGCCACGTCGCACGCGTGTCCCAGCCCTGGGGCCGGGGACGCAGCTGCTGCCACACTGGCCAGCAGCGCTGCGCGCCACGCTCCAGCCCGCAGCGCGTCTGCCTTGGCGCGCGCTGCCCGCGCAGACGCGGGAGGCAGGGCCAGCAGCAGAGCTGTCCCCTGGGCTGGGGTCAGGGCTCGTTGCAGCGCAGCCGCCAGGCCCGGTAGGCCCCCGGGACGCAGGGGGAAGACAGGCAGCGGTGCGTCTTCTGCCTCCTCAGTGCCCAGAACCTCCCAGCCCTCTTCCTCCCCATCCCCGCCACCCGATTTTATCTCGTGCTCCCCAAATCCACCGCCTGATTTCCGGTCTCCATCTGGCGATGTACTCTCGCTGCCCGAATTCTTCCCACCATCACATTTCTTCCCGTCCTCTCTACCTTTTTCTTTGTCCTCCCCATCCCCGCCACCAGATTTCTCTTCATCCTCTTCTGGTTCAGGATCTTCGCCTTCGCCGTCAGTCCTCACGAAGAAGATGGGCGTGACAAGGCCCGCCAACGCCCTCCCACGAGCTACGTCAGCAGGCGTCGGGGGTCCGGGAACCACCAGGACCAGGGCATCGTAGTGAGCGGGCCTGGGGTCAGGGCTGGGGGCGGGGTCGGGGTAGTCAAGCAGCGCCCAAAGGACCACATTGGGCCTCTCTGGGGCAGGATAGGGGGCTGGCCCGGGGGAGGACGGAGTGGGTTCAGGGTGCTGCCCAAGGAGGGAGCCTATAACTGTGGGGGCTTCTGGACCAGCCACACCCAAGTCCACCCGGGCGCTGCCCAGACGCTCGAGGCCCGAGCGCAGCCAGGTCATCGCAGCCTCCAGGCCACCTGCCTCAAAAGCCTCGCGCACCGCTTCTAGCTCGGCTCCTCCCACGACCTCGAAACCTTCCTGGGCAGGAGGCAGCAGCCTGGGAGGAGAGAGCATAGACAGACTGGGGGTGAGGATGGAGCGGAGGTTGCAAGGGGGTAGCAGGAGACCATGAATGGTCTGAGCCTTGGAGGACAAGGCCATGTGGGAACCTTGGAGCCAGGCTGTAAGAGCAAGAAGCGTTGGGAAGGAATTTGGGGGAGCTTTGGCATTCCCTGACCTGCCCCGTCACCCTGGCCAGGTTACTAACCCTCTTCTAGGGCTCTTACCTCCCCCCTTCCTTCGATCCTCCCCAGCCCCGAAATTATATCACAGTCAGGAAGATGGGTTCTGTTGCAGCTAGGTGGCACAGTGCATAGAACACCGGCTCTGGGGTCAGGAAGACCTTAGTTCAAATGTGACCTCAGACACGTGATCACTTGATACTAGCTGTGTGACTCTGGGCAAGTCACTTAACCCCAACTGCCTCGCAAAAAAAAAAAAAAAGATGGGTTCTGAGAGACATGGACGGAGTCAAGAAGATGGGAGAAGCAGAAAATTTGGGGAGGAACAGGGCCCCTACCCTTGAGAGACTGCTTGGGCATAAGGTGCGGGGAAAGGTGGCGGCAGCGTGGGGTTCTGGCCTTACCTCTCCAGTGCCGCCCCCCGGTCCTGTAGCGCCTCCCGAAGTCTGGTCAGGTCAGTTCCTTGAGGCCCAGGCCGACTAAGTATATAAAGTGGTGCTGCCCCCAGCCCTGCAGCAGCCAGCTGGGCCGCCGCCTTCATCCTGTCCTGCTCCAAGTCTTCAGGCTGCTCCGGGCTCCCGGTGTTCCCATTTCTGGGACTTCGGCTCCACACTGCTAGCAGGGGTGCCCCCCGGGCCAGGGCCGCCCGCCCAGCTGCCCCCAGCCCCTCGGGCAGAGACCCATCCTCTTCCTCAACCCCGTTCCCGCTCCGGGGTCCCCAGACCAGCACAAGCACATCAGCCTCGGCTGCCCAGGGTTCGGGCACTGCCGGAGGGCAGCTCAGCTCGCCCAGGAAGAGACCAGGTCCCGCGGGGTAGAGGGCAGGGACGCGAGCGTCTTCATGCCAGGCCTCTGGAGCCTCCCGGAGCGCAGCGATGATCTCTGACTTTCCCGAACCCGGAGGACCCAGGAATAAGGCGGTTACATCACCCCTTGGTGGAGGCATGGTTGGGGCTGTGGGTGGAGAGAAGAAAGGAGGGAGTCACCAAGTGATCCATCCCCTGAGGTGGCTCCTCTTGTCCTCCAGGACCCAGGCAAATTCCTCTTTAGCTATCTTTCTAGCCTTTTGGCATCTAGAGTTCCTAATTACTTGAGACTTAGTACTCAAATCTTCAGCCTTCCAATTTCTTCCCGTTCTGCATCCAGGTGAGTGGAGATCCCAGCACTCAGAATCCAGGTTCTCCTTGCCCCCACCCCCTCCTTAGACCATTCCCCTGGACCTAGGTATCATCTCCTTTCTTCACCTCGCCCCTCCCCAGAGCCCAGACGTATATACAATAGGCCCTGGTACCAAAAAGGGCTCAGGACTTACTATTTTCAATCCTTAGCCACCGACTCAGTCCTTACAGCTTTGTCCTAGCATCTCAGACATAATTCCCTCGCAGCTGCTCATCCCCTCCTTTCATTTCTCCCAAGGACTCAGCACATAAAAGCGGAGGTCTCAGCTCACTGTCCTCACCACCTTAGGTCTTGAGCTTCCCAACCTCGGTCTTTATTCATTCCACCAGTTCTTCCACAAAACACCCCAGGAGTCAAGAATTCTGCCTCCCTCCCCTTAATTCAGGACCCAAGCCAATGAGGCCCCCTTCTCCCTGAGACCACTCATAGACACTCAGTCTGCACTCTGGTGCCAGCCACTGAGCTCTCAGCCACCTGAGCCCCTCTGGCCTCCAGGTCAACACCCCTCCCCCCTATCTTTTTCTTCTCTTCCTTCCTAAGGACACTGGCATTCTGGTCCCCATTCTCTGGAATTGGCCATCTAGTCCTCCTCTTATCTGACAGAAACTCAGGAATCCTGTTCCTCCCCCCTCCAGGGACTCAGGCATCCTGTCCTCAGTCCCCCACCCCCGCATACACCCTGTCAATGACCCAGGCATCCTGTCCTCACTCTCCATACCCGGCCAGGGTCAGGAGATGTTCTCCTCCCCACACCTGGTAATGACCCAGGCGTCCTCTCCCCCTCCCCCTCCCCACACCTGGCAATGACCCCGGCGTCCTGCCCCCTCCCTCCCCCACAGCTGGCAGCGCCCCGGTCCGTTCGGTTCGTTCCCTCCCCCGACCTGGCAAAAACCCCAGGGGGCCGGGTTAGCCACTCCCTCGTCCGGACCCTGGGCCGCAAAGCTCGCAGCAGATAAACAGCCGGCGCCCGGCGTAGTACCGGGGCTGTCAGCGCGGGGCGGGGCATGGGGGGGGGGGAGAAGTCTAATCAGGTGACGTCATGGCTCTTCAGTCATGGAAATGACGTCACCAGGGCCTCTCCCGAAAAGGCACGAGCGGCGAACGCGTCAGGTGACGCGCTCCCGAAACAAAGGCAGCTGGGGCTTGGCGCGTGCGCAGACGCTCGACCTGCCCCGCAGCTCCCGCCCCTTCAGGCGGAAGGGGAGGGGCCCTGGCGAGAGGGAGGGGGAAGAGCCGGGTCAGAGGTCACAGGGCGGAACCCCCTGGGGATTGGTGGGGCTCAAGCAACCCGTGATGTGGGGTCAAAAACAAGTGATGTCATCGTGCGATCAAAAGTGACAGAGTCACGTGGGGTCTAAAGTCAGGAATAAAGTCCTAGTGGAAGTCAAAGGTCAACTCCCTGGGGATCGAGACCGAGAAGGGTCATAGGGCTGTGGGATCAAGGGTCGGCGTGCAGCGGGTCAGACGTGGAAAGGTCAAACCAAGGCCAGTGCGGGAGCGAGGATCCAGCCCCTCACTGGGGTTCTCCAGTGTCCTCTGTGCCCTGTCTGCCCCAACCGCTACCCCCACCTGACTTTACCCCTCTGTAAAGTGCGGGGGTTGGATGAGATGGGGGCCGTAGGCGCGGGGGGAGGGAATGTCCCCATGGCCTGCCAGATTTCCCCCCCCCCCGACCCCGCTACGGGGGCCCTGGGGTCTGACCCCCTTTAAGGGAGGGGTCTGAGCAGGAAGCAGCAGCCACCATCACCTCCTTCCTCACTGGCCCCACCTGGAATGACCTGTCCCCCAGGGAACCTCGAGCATGGCCCGCAGGTGCCGCACCTGTAAGGGGTGGGGCCAGCGTGACGTCACCCACGGCAGGGCGCTGCAGAGGAGGAAGAGTGGGGTTCAAGCAGGGCGTTTGGGGGGGACCCTGGTGAGTCCCGCGGGCTCAGCGCCCCCCAACAATTTCTCAGGGTGCCAAGTGCTGCTCTGGGTCGGGGTTGTGTGTCCACTGTGTACATAGGCAGTGACCGGTCCAGGGTCTCCCTGCCAGCTGTCAGAGGCAGCCCCCAGCTCTGCCCAGTATCTCGTATGTCCAAGGTCGGACTTACTGGCTGTTGGTACGAGCTCCGCATCCTGGGGGTCAAACTGAAGCCAGCCTGCTAAGAACACTGCGTAATAGATGCTCTGCCCACTCTGTTTTTTGTTTTTTTTGGGGGGGCTGAGGCAATCGAAGTCAAGTGACTTGCCCAGGGTCACACAGCTAGTAAGTGTCAAGTGCCAGAGGCCGGATTTGAATTCAGGTCCTCCTGACTCCAGAGCCATGCTCTATTATCCACTGTGCTACCTGGCTGCCCCTGCATACTCTGTTCTGTTGGCCGCTACTGCTCCCTCTTCTCAGGACTCACAGAAAGCTCTCAGAATTAAATTGCCCTCCTCCAAAAAATAAACAGGCAAGGGGCACTGGCTTAGAGTCAGGAGAGAGCCTGGTTCAGATTCTTGTACAAACCTCAGCAGCTCTGGGACCTGAGGTGTCGCTCACCCGGCTCCACCTCCAGGAGCGATCATGCTTTTCCGTTTGTGCCCCTGGCCCTCAGCACAGTGCTTGGCACAGAATAACTAGTTAAATAAATGTCTTTTCATTTATCCAGCTATTCAAATGGATGGTCCTGTTTGCTCTCATTCTCTTCCCATGGCCAGCCTCGTCCTTCCTAGCTCTCAGAAGTTACAGGCTGACATTGAGGTTAGATTATATCTCATTACATTTATATCAATTTTTTTTGTTATTTCAGCTGTCTCTGACTCTTTGCGACCCCATTTGCGGTTTTCTTGGCAGAGATCCTGGAGTGGTTTACCATTTCCTTCTCCAGCTCATTTTATAGGTGAGGAAACTGAGGCAAACAGGGTTGAGTGACTTGCCCAGGGTCACACAGCTAGTAAGTATCTAAGACCAGATTTGAATTCAGGAAAATGAATCTTGCTGACTCCAGGCCTGGTGCTCCATGCACTGTGCCACCTAGCTGCCCTTCTATATCCATATCTATATCTCTGTATCATTGGCTGAAACTGTAAGAACTTCAAACATTTGTGGCGTTTAAAGTTTATGAAGTGCTTGGCTCAAAACAACCCAGTGAGGTTGACAGCACAAGTGATTAGTTCCCTTTTACAGATGAGGAAACTGAGGCTCAGAGTTAAAGTGGCTCGCCCCAGCTAGCCCATCGGATCGAACAGGTGGTTGGTATTCTGGGCTCAAGGACCCAGCATTTCTGTGGGTGGCAGGCCTGGCTATGCTGCTTGCTATATAGGTGACTTTGGGCCAGCCTAGATGCCGTCTCCTGGGGCCCAGCTCCTCCATCTATAAAATGAGGCAGGGTGTACTGTAGTTCTTAAGCCCCTGCCCCCTGGCTCTGACATCCTGCAGCCCAGCCCTCCCATAGACCTGATGTCTGGCCCTGGTACCTCTCCCCTGAACAGGCCTCTGGGCCTTCCTCCAGTACCCCCAACCCCAGCCTCCCAGGTTCCTTATGGCTGTCCTGCCAATTTCAAGATCACTTTAGGAAGTAGGAGCACAGCGCTGACTTCCTGGAGTGGCCGCTGGGGGCATGAGGAAGGCCCCCTTCATCTGTATGCATCCCTTCACTCCTCACAGGGCCCGGCCGCCCATCAGCACGGTCATGGCCCCTATCCCTACCCCTGCCCAGGGGATGGTGAGACTTCTGGGCATTCAGCCAAGCCCAGCACTGCCGGGTGGCCTACCAGTGTGTTCTGGGCACCTGCCCAGATCCTGTTCTTTTTGCCAGCACCAAGTGTAGGAAGAACTGACATGATATCATAGAATGTTTATATAGCATTGTATTAGCCATGCCTGCTGGAAAGGCCATCCCAGCAGGTAAGGAAGGAGAGAATCCCAAGTTAGCATTGGGGGCAAGAGGAAATCATCCCAGAATTCAGGCCAGTTGTGCTGCTGGAGGCCTGTCACCCCCACCCCACAAACCTCAAAGCCCTGGTCTCTTCTAAGACCCTGCTCAGGCCTTTCCTGGGCACCCAGACTCCCAGCAAATAGAAGCACTTGGTCGCTGTTTCTGTTTTTATAGGTTCATGGCACCTCTCCCTGTGCAGAGGGAGCATTTCATCCTTTGGCCTTGCATCCCAGAGCCCGGCACACAGGAGGCTCTTTATAAATACTTGTCAGCTGACGGGAAAGTCCATCCTGCTTTCTCAAGATCACCTTCCTCTTCAGTAAAATTTTGTTGTCACTATTTTTCAGTCGGGTCTGATTCTTCATGACTCCATCTGCGGTTTTCTTGGCAGAGACACTGGAGTGGTTGGCCATTTCCTTCTCCAGCTCATTTTACAGAGGAGGAAACTGAGGCAGACAGGGTTGGGTGACTTGCTCAGGGTCACTCAGCTAGTAAGTGTCTGAGGCTGGATTTGAACTCAGGTCTTCCTCACTCCAGGTCTGGTGCTCTATGCGCTGCCCCCCAGCTGCCCTTCAGGGTTCCACTGTGTGGTCTTTATGGTCCCTTCCTGCTCAGAAATGGCGATTTGCCTACTTTGCATCTGGTGCTTATCACAGTGCCTGGCACACAGCAGGTGCCTAATAAATGCATGTTGACTTGACTTTGCAGTGTTGTGACGAAAATGCTCTGTAAACCTTTAAATGCTATACAGAGGGGAGATGTTATTAATATTTGGGACAGAGGGAATGAGCTACCCATCACTGAGGGTCTTCCAGGTCAAGCTATATGTCCACTTGTTGGGAATGATGTTGAGGGGATTCCTGTTAATGTGCAGGGTAGACTAGATGTTCTCTTTGGGCTCAGATTCTAGAGAGCAAGAGGAAGGGCTAGAAGGATGGATGGAGGGATGGATGAATGATAGATGCATGATACAGATGGACAGATAGAGGTAGAAACATGGAGGGATGGACAGATGGATGGATGGATGAATGATAGATGCGTGATATAGATGGACAGATGGAGGTAGAAACATGGACGGATGGATGGGTGGATGGATGGGTGCATGGATGGTGTTTGTCCTTCATTTTGAAGAGGACCAGTGGCGTCATAGGGTGATGTCTTGACCTATGTGTGAACTGGATTGGAGTGAGACAGAGCTGCATGGTCATCAGCCCTACTCTCTTCCAGAGTCACTCAAATATGGTGACAGGACAGAAGTCAGGAGCGCTGGGGATGGCTCAGGATGCAGTAGATGACCTTGGCATCCTCCCCTGGGGGGAGTCTTCTCATACTCGGGGTAGACACCCCCTGACTCACTGATGGCTTTGAGGCCCATAGGTTACCCTCCACCTGGTTTAGCCCGTCTGCTGAGATAGTTTTACCACTACACACGCAACAGCTTCTTGGAGCCACAGGGGAGAGTTGGCTGACAGGTGGACATCAAAGGTGGAGGAGCAGTGCTCACACCAGTGGTGCTAGTCTTCCTTGGGACCCCTCATACACCCGGATGGATAGATGGATGTGATAGATGTTGGGCCGCTAGGTGGCGCCATAATGCTCAGCACTGGGCCTGGAGTCAGGAAGACTCCTCTTCCTCAGTTCAAATTCAGCCTCAGACACTTATAAGCAGGGTGACCCTGGGCAAGTCACTTAACCCTGTTTGCCTCAGTTTTCTCATCTGTAAAATGAGCTGGAAAAGGAAATGGCAAACCACTCCAGTATCTCTGCCAAGAAAACCCCAAGTGGAGTCAAGAAGAGTCTGAGAAAACTGAAATGATGGAACACAGCCACAAATGTCAGAGATGAAGGATCTGTGACAGACGATGGATAGACAGATATATGGATGGGTGGATATAGACCGCTCATTAAGCACTTACCACATGCCAGGCCCCCTGCTAAGGGCTGGGAAGACAATTACAAGCAAAAAGACAGCGCCTGCCCTCAAGATCTGAGAGTGCCTTTCTCCCCAGCTTCTCCCCCTCATCCCAGGAAGCTCATCGCCTGCGGGATCCTGGTGACCTTGGCACTCCTCACCAGCCTCTGTCCCTCTGATTGGAGGCTAGGGCCCTGTTTAAGGAAAGAGCCCAGCCTAGCCCATCCCATTTCCCACCTGGCTGCATCCCTTTGGGACTCCTTTGAGGTGTCCAGTATGCTGCCTCCTCCCTCCCCCAACACTCCGTTCAGCTTCCTTTAGCGTACTGT